GTAGCTTCGAAGAACGTCTTCGAAGACACGATTCACTCGCTCGGTCTGGCCGTCAGTCTCCGGGTGCCCAGCGGTGGACATCATCAACTTGGTGCCCAATAACTCGAACGGCTTCGTCCAGAAGGCGGCAGTAAACCGCGGATCGCGGTCGGAGACGATCGACTCAGGAAGACCATGATGGCGGAAGACAGCGTAGATGAAATACACCGCGGATTCCTCCGCGGTGACCTCTGGGCGAACCGGCACGAAGTGGACCATCTTGCTGAAACGATCAACGAACACGAGAGCGTCCGACCTTCAGTGTCGGGCGGAAGACCGAATTCAAAGTCCATAGAAACGGATCGCCAGGGCTCTGTAGCAATTGGAAGAGGGCGTAAAGGAGCCTGCGACGACGAGGATGGTTTCACTCGTTGACACACTTCACAAGAGCGGACCCATTTGCGAACCCACTTGTAGTGATGCGGCCAGTAGAAATCTCGCGACATGGCCACGAACGTCTTTTCGCGGCCGAGGTGGCCACCGATGGGAGCACCGTGGAACTCGTAAATGATTCGAGAGCGAAGATCCGGATCATTTGGCACCACCACACGCGGAGCGTCGAAGGTATCGATACAGTATGTCAGCAAGCATTCCTCGAGCCGATAACGATGAATCTGGTTGCGAGAAGACCGCGACAGTGCACCCAGTGTATTATCGCTGGGGGAAAGGAGATGAGCGATGATGTTGAAATACACTGCGTCATATTCGTATGCTGCGATGATCTCGTCTCGGAGGGACATCACCGGAACGACGCTCGTCAGGTTCAGGCCTAGCGATACACACGCGGCGCATTCGTCTTCATCAAAGTCAGGGTCTTCACACTCTAGTACGCTCCGAGGATCGTAGTCGGGGCGACGCGACAAGGCGTCAACAAGAATATTGTTCTTGCCGGGCTTGTAGTGAACCACGAAGTTGTACTCGGAGAAGAACGACAACCAGCGAGCCATGCGCTGGGACAAGTGTGGGCTCTTCATCGCTGTTCGCAGCGATGCGTGGTTAGTGTAGACCGCGAACGTCTGCTCGCCCAACAAATACACTCTGAACTTGATCAGAGCATAACGCATAGCGAGTAGTTCCTTGTCGTGAACAGGGTAGTTTCGTTCTGCGGGCTTCATCTGG